AATACTAAACGTGAACAAACATTTCAGCTACAAACGCTGGACTAATATATTCGCGCTTGTGGAATAATATTTCGATCACCGGAGATCTGGGATACCAGGAAGATAGAACTATTCTTTGTGTGGTGGTTCAACGGAATACGGAACTACGGAATCTCCTATTTTGAACTGTGAGTCAAGATTTACTTGTATTTTTCTCTTTGTGACTTTGTATCTGGCTTACACCAGTAATTTGTTCAGTTCACTAGAGACTCCATAGGGCCGTTAACCACTACAAGCAGAAACCCCACCCCAGATGACCCCTTCATAGTGGAGTGACTTTAACCAAAGCTCGCATTGTGCGTTGTCAAAGAATTTTATGTACCCAAGCGCGGTCGAGGACTCCATAGGGCCGTTAACCACTACAAGCAGAACAGAAACCCCAGATGACCCCTTCATAGTGGAGTGACTTTAACCAAAGCTCGCATTGTGCGTTGTCAAAGAATTTTATGTACCCAAGCACCGCGCGGTCGAGGCTTTTCACGCTGCCATCTTCATGTTTGTGGATTGCTGCCCTCAACATACTTATCGTGGACGAAGACGCCCGACATAACTTCTCTCCGACGGTCGTCTCGGATGCCTGAGACCATCTTTTTTTATCCGAAGCCTTTCGAATTTCAAACATACGGTTGAAATTCTAACTCTTTCTTCATTGATTACCTTACTCTTAATTCAGCCCTTCCTCGTATGACTGGATGCCTTTTCAATCATACTCTTACTTCTAACGACGACCCTTACCTCGCGGCCCTAGAGTATCATTGGATGAGTTCACTCAAACCGAGCGAGGCTCAGTTAGGGGAGTGATCTATTTTGGGTATATGACCCAAAACCATTCTCGTTTCGGAACCTCTCAAGCTTCAGACCCTTCCGTTTTTCTCTCTCTCAATTCCGAGCATTCCAACCACTCGCCCAGTCAAAAATTAACTTTGCACTATTACTGAGGCCTGTTCCGTGGAAAGGCCTTCCACAGTTCACTGTTTGTTTAATATTTGCTGTTTGCATATCTCCATAATGAGGTATCACTTCATGATATGTTGAAAGTTATACCAGGACAAGAAAGATGTGGAACTGACACTTATTGACTCACCATGTGCTTCAGTAATGTCTGCGTCCGAAGAAGCAAAATACAAGTGGCTTATCGGTGGAAATACATACTCCAAATTCGGAAGTGTGCTGAAGGGGGACGACGAAGACTCTGAATCAAAGACTGTATCTGTTGTTGATGAATTAAGTGCACTTGGTGTCTGTATCCGGTCTTGAATAGGCCAGACAGGACTGATGCACTGTACATCTTCTACCGGACCGGTAGTCAGTGCGCTGGGTAGACAGCCTTCGGTTTCAGTCACTGCAGGTTTTGAGAATGTACTAAGCGAAATGTCTTCTGGTGGAGTTATACAGTCTTCGTAAGGATGGTTATCTAGTTCCCACAGCAATTGTCTCGCTTTCAGTGCGGTTACAGCAATCAGCAGCCCACGTCTGAGTCTGATTCCACCTCTTGAACGTTTCGCTTGATCTAACTTTTGCATGGATGTAAGTAGGACAAACTGTGCCGTTGTTGAATCTAATTCGTGTTCATTTACGGTACGAAACCGAACACACGGAGCGTCAGGGTCGCAGAGCATCCCGCGGCGTACACAAGCCGTGCCGTGCACCAGTATTACACCAATTTATCGTTCAAATGACCAATCAAACACCCTTGATTTGACCTAGTCATCGATCGATTGCTTGCTATTTGGATTGACCAATGGCTATTGAGAGGAGCGTACGGACGCACGCATTCATTGTTTGGCTTCCAGTTCTCCGTAGGCTTTGTCTCTTCAGAATGACTGACCGGGTGAATCAATGACTTGGGCGAACGACGCACGTGAGTCACCCATCAGACTTAGCTTGGGCCTGCGCCTCGAATCAAACAGGCAGAAGGAGATGGGGCTGAACCTGTGTAGTCCGGTCGCGTTCAGCATGCAGGTGTAGTGATCACGCTTGAGGAATGTAGATTGCACGTCATGGAAGCACCGCCGAGGGCAGGGGTTCACAATTTCTGGAGATGGAAAACAGAGATCAACCTGTACTCTAGGGTAGGATACTGAAGTTGACAGTCCGGCCTCTGACCGGTCAGTTTGATGACTCCCAATCAACTAGAACGTCAATACTGGGAATTTCGCGCGCTTTGCTCTAACGAACGCGTTTCCTCGACAGCAGTGAATAAGGTAGTTTGAGTGGAGACACAATGTGCGTTACTGAAGGAAGATCTATAGGGCCAGGTTATTTTCACTCCAAATTGTGGCATGGTCGGAGTGATGGCAATCACAGCTGACAATCACAGAGTCAACGCAGATTAGGGAGGAACAAGAGATAAATAGTGGGAAATGCCTGCTGGAAACTTGCGAAAAATAAAATCGGTCAATCATACCAAAATAGTATCCACCTTCAATGGAGCTTAGTAGGAGTTCTGAAAATAACCTTAGAAAAATTGAGGAATTGTTTGGGTGGATCAGTTCACTTGGCGTACCTTGCATAATGGAACCAATCTGAAACGCCTGAAAAAAGCCAACAGAATGGAAGAGAAATAAAATCTAGCATGCGAAGATTGAGGCAAGACACTGAGGGGGATTACAAACGGTGATATTCACAACAGTGGGCTGAAGCCAATGTTGAATTCGAGTAATAAAAATATCGTGGCCTAAACGGCATAAGACCGGTGAAAGGATTAAAGTGGTACATAAAAAGCTGCCGTTGGTGAAATCTTGATCTTTCAGGTAGTTATTTCTCCGTTACGGTCAATCATGAATGGACTCAGGTGACTTTTAATGGTAACCAGCCAGTCGATCGAATTTTCGAATTTTTGTAGCACTTGTAAACTGTTATTTTCCATGTTCAATATCATCTTTCTCTCTGTTGGTCACATTACTGTAGGAAAGTTTGGTTTAATGAAATAGAGCGACAAGCTTCTGCATCTTGGGCTCATCGGGACTTTACGCGTTTCACTTGGTGACGGTTCTGACTGGCTGTCGAATAACATTGGCTGGCACCAATTACCAACAAGAACAAAATTTTTTAGCTGCAAATACTGGACTTACCCATTCACATCAGCGGATTAATATTGCGATTACCAGAGGTTTGGAATACTAGCTGTGGTGGCTCAACGGAATACGGACCTGAGGAATTTCCTCTTGTGAACCGTGAGTCAAGATTTCTTTGAATTGTTCATCTTGTTACATTATATCTTACAATGATAGTTTGTTCTGTTGATTAAAGACTTCGTAGGACCGTTAACCACTACACTTTTGGGTTAATCGAATAATCACATCGGCAAGGTGCAATTCATGAGGCTGACTTTCCACCATTAGACGACGAGCTTGGAGACCTAGAAGGTGTACGATATCAGCTACGTTGGCCTTAACTCAGCTACATTGGCTTTAGAATGCTATGGCCGATCTCCAGCTCATTCAAACTTTCACCGGTGGAGTAGTGTACGGTATGATATCAAGCGTGGTAGTTATAGAATACTAAATCATCGGAATCACGTAGACACAATGTGAATGTCGAGGACCATACTCCGTAAAACACCCCTCACACTACTAATTTAAACGAATTCCCTACTGTTTTTCATCGTATTTCGTAGTAACAGAGTCACTTAACATAGTCACCTGCGGTTTTATCGTGACAATACATCAGTTCTTGTCAGAAAATCACGTCTGGTTGGACAGAGAAATTATACTTGAACGAGAAATTCTTCGAAACGTATTTCTCGACCTGTGAACAACACGAAGTGTTCTGTTGTTTCACCGTAACATAAATCAAGTACACTACCTGTATTAGTAAGGGCGCAGCTGCAGTTCATATTGTGTTCGCAGAGGAGCTGCGGTCAGACCATGCTGTGCGTGTCTATCACCATTTAGGGCTGTATATGCCACGTTTACACGTCACAGGATTTGAATTTCAAATTGTAACCACCTGCGAATAATCGATTAGTTTACGCGTCACCCATCCAAACTCCAACCAACTGACAGTTCATTTGATCAGGGGTCGAATAATATGTGTGTGGTAAATGAGGAGGTTTGAAGCCCTATTTAACTATTAGCAGCTGCAAGCAATTGCAAAGCCCCACCGGGTGCTCAGTCCATGCCTAATAGCAACCGCCTGCTATCCTGCCACACCATCAATACAAACGCACGTTTGGAGGGACGACGAGGAAGGAATGACAGGAGGATTTCCTCTCCTGAAACTCGAAAAATTTCCTCCCGGAAAAATACTGATTTTGTGACTGCGAGTGTTATACCATTCTGCTAGACTAGTTTGCTTCGGGCATAACGCAGTTGACGCACAGACCCTGTGATGGACCACAGTTTTCTTAATGCCTTCCATATACCTAAGTCTGGATAGCCGCTTGATAGCTGTGCGTGCTTAGCCAAACCAGAAAGCTAATGAACATGCGAATCAGCTGATCTGGTGAACACTGACCCGTACAGGCGTGTCATGTTCGGCCAAAAACGGACTGCCTAGAAAGCTCACGTGGAAAGTTATAGGTTGGCTAAAAAGTGATACTAAAAAATATGACTCATTTGTCAAAGGCAACTGAAGAACAACCAAGTGAATCTGACTGTCCACTGGCAGTTGCTGTTTGCAGTTACGTTCGGAGCTTGTTCTCTTAATAGATCCCAAATTGAAGGCCCTCTGAAAGTCGGCCTGTCATCACTACCAGCATCAGAAACAGAAACATCAATGTTGACACCAAAAAGTTTAGTTAATTATATTTAAAGCTGTAAGTCGAGAAATATGGTAAATAGCGGATAAGGGAGTGACCGATGCCAGCCTACCGCATGCATTCTGGGCTTTTTAGACCTCCAAGCTCCCAATCCGACAATCTGGAAAGAACCCCATATCACGAACGCCACTCGAATCAGTTAGCCACCGTTTTTTACAATGTTACCAGCCAATCACATGAGGTGTCATGGAACCACACCTTGTAAGCAAACCACATCAACAAAACCTAAACTGTTCGCAATCTTGGGGAATATGTATTTTGTTCATCTTCACACAACTCTCATTTGAAAGGTCGGCCTCCTATTCTGGCGTAATTATTCTGGTGAGTCCACACCAAAGGGAAGCAGTGGAATCAAGTTTCGCTGTTATTAGAGCTCATCAGCAGTGCATATCCAATGGCCGTGCCAGGATTTCAATTCCGGACATCTCACATGCGAAGTGAGCGTGTTACCACTACTCGTAATCCGTTCGTAACCTCTTTCATATCATCCCACTAAATCGTTCGTCGTCCGCCTTGCAGTTTGCGCCATTCTGAAAAAGGCACGAAAATCAACACTCTTCCCGGTAGACGGTGTTCTGACATGCGTAGCATATGATCGAGTCATTGTAGTTGACATTGCTGAATGTTTTTCGCGATTGAAGTACCTGCTGCACAGTCAATTACCCGCTTTCTGATTTCATAGTTTCGAATTCTTCGACGCCATCTGAGACCAAAACAATTGTGATACACTGGTGGTGAAAAACCTGATGATGCCTCACATCGTCTGTCCGCAGAGGCCATGCCTTGCCACCATATAAGAATATAACCCTCACTATGGCCTGGTACCCGTGACCCTTGAGACCCGGTAAATATTCCCTGTTGACGCAACAGATGACGCGAACTGGCAAAAATTCTCACCAGCAACTATTTGGAACAACGGGATTTTGAAGGCCATCCAAAGTACATCCCAGTACTTAATCGATGACGAGGTTTAACAAAAGTGGACAGAATAGATATCCTCGTCAAGAATCACTCCTCTTAGTTTAAAAAGCTTCCCATACGCCCGAAAATGCGTGAATGAAGAAACAGATTGTACTCTCAAACTTCCAGGGCATCTCCTATTGAATAAGGGTAGTTAGAAGCACTGACTGGTAGATAGAGTCAAACACATACCTGAAGTCAAAGAACACCAAGACTGTGTGCTGCCTGTGTGTTTATCTGTTTGGCGTTGCTCTAGCACCTGAAGAAGTGGAAAGATATGGTCGACGCAGCTTCTACACGGTCAAAATCTCATTTGATGCTCACTCCACTTTAGTGAGACAGTCTCCTTCTCACAGGTAAGCTTAGATGAGCTAAATAGTTCAGGATCTGCACTCAGATACCTCTGGGGCTTAAGTACAGTCGATATTCACCGTCCATATTTCGGTTAAAGGCCGATAGCCTGGGATGGAAGTAGCAGATGGCCAACTTAATTGTTGTTCCACGTATTGTGCCCGACAATCAGTTCTTCTTCAGTGGATATCAGGTCTTTTGGAGTTTTACTGGGAGAGAGCCTTCCGAGAGCCTGTCCAAAGAATCAACTGGAACGACCTGCACATATTTCCAGAATTTTTCGGCTATCTCACATCTCCAGCCTTCAGATAAACCAAGCTTCACTTAAATTATGTGTCCAGTGGGGTTGTGTTTGTGGCCAGAAGGAATCTTTGACTTGTCCTATCAGAGATCCATTGCTTGAAAAAGGCTGGCTGGGCTTTACCGAAGGCAGAATTCCAGGCATCACATATGGCTTTGGGTATTTCACTCTAGTGATGGTTAACATTTTATATGAGATCAAAAGGAAGGTGCTGGAGAAGTGGGATCTGACGCATTCCCTTGATTTTGGGGTCCATGAACTTATCAGTGAACAAGTGGTGTTTATGTTTTACGTGAACCTGAAAAGCACAATAAAAAGCAGC